ATTAGGCCTGCTGAGCTGAAGAAAATGGGTATAACTTTTCTCTTAATTCCATAATCTTATTATCCTAGCTCCAATAAAAACTGATAATGAAATCTGAGGGTATTGAGAACTTGGATTTTTTCCATTAAGTTTAACTTGGTATTTTTTTCAAGCAATGTGGTACTTACCATAGTCCAACTCTTCTTTAAGACTATCCAGGGAAACATAAACCCTTGCAGCCAGCCATTCTCTGTCAAAATTACATCTGACCTGCATATTTTTGCAATTCTCGGATGCATTATGCAGTCAGATCAGGTTGTTCCTTGACCAGTTGTTCACCCCTATCAATTGCATTAGCATTTAACCTGTCAGTTTAAATTACAAAGGTAACAAAGGTTTGGGAAGGTTACAATAGATCCAATCTCGCACAGAAGTGTGGAAAAATAATCTTAAATCATCCCTCGATGTGAGTGTTATTTTTTTTTCTCCCGACACACATTTATTTACCTTCTAGAAGCATCTCTGGGCAACTTTTTGTGGTGAACACTACATGAGACCAGCAAAGCTTGTCAAATAAGGGCAGCACTGGCAATAAGACAAGCATGTGTGTTTTATCTGAACTTGGATTGCACGTCCTGTGTCTTTACTCATTTTCTCTCCTATTCCCCGTCCTTTTTCTGGGCTAAATTTCCTCTTTTTCTCTCTCGGGAGATTCTGTTCTTCATTGTGTCTGATTAGTAAATTAGGTGCTATTCTGCAGGCAACATAAGAATATTATCAAGGATTGGAGTCCCTTAAATCCTTAATCCTTTAGACTTGAATGGAATCAGAGAATCATTAAGGTTGGAAAAGACCTCTAAGCTCATCAAGTCTGACCATCAACCAGCACCACCACCGTGTTCACCACTGAACTGTGTCCTCAAGTGCCACCTCCACACATTTTTTGAACATTTCCAGGGATGGTGACTCCACCACTGCCCTGAGTGGTCTGTCCTAATGCTTGACAATCCTCTCCATGAATAAATTTGTCCGAAGATCTTACCTAAACCTCCCCACACATGAAGATGCTGCGCCTGCAAGAGGGTCAGGCCAACCTCTCCTCGAACCATCCATCATCCTGTGCTGGAGATTTACCACTCTACCACATGAGTTTTTGGGTAGTGTATTAATAAAGGACCAATCTGTAATTCCAGCACACTAAGGAAAAAAATCTGTTCTCTTTTAAACAAATGAATATGCTTGGAAAAAACTAGTAATCATGTTAATTTTACCCGAAACTATTCGTATTTCTATGATGCCCTTAGAACACACGGGCAATGATGTCAGAATTCCAACTGCAGGTTGCCTGAATAGAAAATATGACATAATTCCCACCACATCTGCCCACGCCAACCTCTCTGTGCACCTCCCAGCACCAGCACAGGCTGCTGAGTAACATAAAATCACTCCATAGCATTTGGAAAAGCTAAATCAGCACATGGTGGGCCAAAAACGCCCCTGACAGAAGAATTAGGAAAAAACCCACAAACATAAAAGCAAACCCCTGATTCTATTAACTTATAAACACATATTTATTTATGTATTTATACATAAATATGTGCATGTATTGATATTATGTGCATATATTTATGTATTTGTACATAAAAATGTATTTCTAATATATGCATTCCTCCCTTTTTTAATAAAGGGGAAACAAAGAGCTTTCACTAATAATATTCATGTGCACAGAGCTCCCATCAAAGTTTGCCTGCATGGAAAATGCAGCTTTAAGACAGTAAAGCAACAATATTAAAGGTAAAGCCAGATTGTGCCTGTTACTGAGCTCAGGAAGCACAGCTGCATATTTCTTTTGAAATATGCAGATATTTTTAAATTATTGCTTTCAGCATGTCCAGAACACACGTTAAAAAGGCACTAAAACAGCAGTGCAGGTACCTGAAGTTTGAGCAACAGATAAAGGCTAAAAATAATGCTGAAAAACTAATTTAAGGGCCCATCTTTGTACAAATGCCCACGTTCCCCCAGCAGCTGTGGCACATGAAGTGTGCCATGATGAATGGTGTTTAATAAGCAGGAGAGCAGAGCTTGGCCTACATTGGGCTGGAGTAGCAGCAGCATCCGCTGCTGGAATTAGGACGTGCTGGTTCCCCCTCCCCAGACGTGGAGCAGCTGCCTCAGCCCTCGTGCAGGAGAGGCTGGGGCAGGGTTGGAGTGCAGGCTCTGGGCAGGACATCTGATTGCTGTAATTGTCTGTAATTAGCCAGCTATGCAGAGATATTTCAGTGCACAGCTGAGAGAGTCACAGGATGGTTTGGGTTGGAAGGGACCTTAAGGTTACATCCACCCCCTGACCTGGACAGGGACACCTTCCACCAGCCCAGGTTGCTCCAACCTGGCCTTGGACACTTCCAGGGATCCAGGGGCAGCCACAGCTTCTCTGGGCAACCTGTGCCAGGGCCTCCCCACCCTCACAGGGAACAATTTCTTACCAATATCCCATCTAACCCTGCCCTCTGGCAGTTTGAGGCCGTTCCCCTTTGTCCTGTCACTCCAGACCCTTGTAAATGGTCTCTCTCCATCTTTCCTGTTGGCCCCTTCAGGCTCTGCAAGACCACAATGAGGTCACCCCAAAGCTTCTCCTCTCCAGACTGAACAATCCCAGCTCTCCCAGCTTCCCCTCCCAGCAGAGCTGCTCCAGCACTCTGATCATCCTGGTGCCTCCTCTGGACTCACTCCAACAACTCCATGTCCTTCCTGTGTCAAGTTCTAATCTTTACATTCAGAGAAAAATAAAATAAAATCAAATCAAATAAAAACTAGCAAAACCCAAATACAAGAGCATTTAAAAGCTGTGTGATCATATTTTGACTGTGCAAATATTACTTTGAAGCAACAAGAACTGCTGTCCCCTGCTCAGGGAACTCTTCTTAAGAAATCATGGAATACTGCTCTTATCTCAGATAATATCCTAGGATATTCCAGAGGAAAATGATGATTTAAATACAGGATAGTCCCTATAAAAGCATCTCATCAAGACCTGCACCCTAATATAGTTCATAACTTCTTGGGTGAGCCAAACACTAGTGAATCACAGTTCACTTTCAGCTTCTTCAAATATATATGGAAACACTCCCATATCTATATTTGGAACTCAAATTAAAACTATTCTTTCTAATCCTGTATTTTCATGAATAAAATCCCAAACAATTTAGTTTCTCATGACATAAACCCTCAGCCCTACCAAAAATAAACCTCCCTACCATTTGGCCTGTTTTTCCAATGAATATTTATAGCAGTTCAGGTGTCAGAGACTCTTTTCAGTGAGCAAAAGTTTAAAAAAAAAAAGCGCCTTGTTCAGGTTTTATCGATGTAACTCACGATATCCCTGCCCTTGTACAAAATAAGGTCAGGCTGAAGTTGGATGTCAGACTTCATTAAAGTGTGTTCTGGGCAGCCTCAGCCTGTGGTGCTCGCTGACCCCAGCACCTCCCAGCTCATGGACCTCAGCAAGGCTTTCTCCTGCCACATTTGCAACATTTCTGCAGAGTCAGCCGATCAATATTGGTGAAAAAAATGCCCCAAAAGTTACCTGGCTGTGAATATCACTGCAATATTCCCAACTTGATGTTGCTGTCGACTTCGAGGATGGTTTGCTCCTCCACTTGGTGGTTTCAAGTCTTTCTTAATTCTTGAGTCACAGCAAGATTTGGAAAATAGATCTTTCTTGCTTTATCCAGGAAGATTATCCCATTTGCAGGATGTCATCCTCTGAGCAGAGCCCATGGAATCACAGATCAGGGAGCTGGGCTCTGAGACTGCCAGCAAAGCTGAGAAATTTGCACAAAATAAACAGATTTGGTTTCGACAACATCCCCTCCCCTTCCCCCAGAAAGAAATAAAAGGGGAAAAAATTCCCAGATTCCTCTATTTCCAGCTCTGTTCTCAATACAAATGAAATCAGGTGGTGGATTGGGCATGGCCCACACGCACTATTTATGGTCTGCAATCAAGCTCAGTGCCACTGTCTGTCATGAAGTCAAACTCTGAGGCTCAATAACTTCATACCCTGAAGTTTTGTCCCACCATATATTAGCAAATGTCCCTGTGAAGGCTCCAGTGTCACCTGTTTGGAGTGTTGACCTTCTTTTGAAGTATTACTGGTGTTTGTCACTGCTGTGTTCGTGATAGCAGATGAGATTTGCCAGTCCTTGGTGCCTGTGCTATCAAATTGCTTAACTTTAAACACTTGAATGGAAAATGGCTCTGTATTTTAACTGGCAGAGGAATTCAGATGCAGGGGATCTGAATATCACAATTATTTCCCTCTGCAGCACAACTGAGGGAAATACTTGTGGAGCTGATGAGTCACTGAGATTCCTTGTGCAGTCTTGGGATGTTGATGCATAAACAAGTTTCAAACTGCTACACTGTATGGAATTAACTAATCAGGTGAATTTTATACCCATTAAATTAACCAATACAAAACATGGTGTGAATCCCCTTAATTCAATTCCAAGCTGGTTTTATTTGCTTTGGGAAATGTACAAGTAGAAACTCAATCAAGGAAAAACGCTCCTGCCATTCCATTTTGTCTCCAGTTGGTGCCTTTATACAAACTTAACTAATTGGGGACAGAGAGTCAAATAAATAAAGCTCTGCATTGAGACAAAGGCACTGTCTTTTCCGATTAGAAAGTTTCTGACAAATAAGAATAATATTGGGTATGGAGAACTGATCAATACTCCCCTCAAAGTAGACTGGTTCGGTGCACTAATTAAATTATAACTCTGATGATTAGAGTCTCAATTGCGAAGCAGATGTTCTGTACTCACCGACCTGCCCAGGTGGGATAATCCCCTTCACTCTGCTGTGCCTCCATTTCACACCAGAAATCCTGGGAGGGTCATGCCCAGCACAAGTGAGAGGCCAAGCCAACTTATCATCTTGCCAGGGATTTGCAGAGCACAAATTTTAAGCCTCCTTTCCCCTTACCCTCAGGAGGGGCAGCTCCAATCAGCAGCTTCTGGCACATGTTCCTGATGTTCCACATGTCCCAAGGTCACAGTAACCCCCGTGGCAGGAATGATCTTGCAATTCTGATGATCTGCTCTGAAATTGGAGTGGGCAGGGATCACAGAAGTGTGTAAGTTTGGGGGTGTAAATCCACTCACCGTTCAGCTGATTCCCTTTTATTGCAGGCACTGGCCTGAAATTCCAACACAGCACAGAATGACAGGACGGTTTGGGATGGAAAGGACCTCAAAGACCACCCAGTTCTACCCCCTGCCATGGGCAGGGACACCTTCTACTATTCCAGGTTCCTTCAACCTGGTCTTGGACGCTTCCAGGGATGGGGCAACCACAGCTTCTCTGGACAACCTGTGCCAGGCTTGAACATGACCCAGAGCATTCCAGGAGCCTGCTGACGGTGTCTTTTCTTTTTTAGAAAATAGATTTACAAAAAAAGATAAGTAAAGCCTCAGAAATACCAAACCATCTGATCAGTGCTAAAAATACCCCTGCTATTTGCATCGGGAGAAAAATGTTTACATTATCAACGACAAAGAGGTTACAGGAAACTCTTGGATTTCTTGTCAGTGTACAAAGCTTAGAAATAATAATTTGCTGAGCTGAATGTCTTTTGTATTTGCTTTTTAAAAGAGTAGCTGCTTTGTATTTTAACCGTGACCTTTCCATCTGTTGGGTCAAGGATATTGTCTGACCAGAGAGTTCAAAGGAAAATAATTCCCATTAGACACTGCATTTTATTTTTCTCTAAAAGGCAGCTTCAGCCTTTGGCTCCTTGTCAAAATTTTAAGGATCTATAGTCTTATGACCTTATGATCTATGATCTTAGTTTTTGCTGAAGAAAAATGAATAATCATCTTTTCCTTAAACTGGAAGTCTCTTTCTATCCAATTTCCTACAGCCAAAATTCAGTCTCCTCTAAATGCAATCCCTGTGTTAATAATACAGACTGTATAATAACTAGAGCCACAAAAGTCTTGGAGCATTTTCCTGTGGAGCATAGCAGTAAAAACAAGTGGGGAAAAAAACCAGTAGTTCAGATTCTTCAATCCATTATTAACATTTACTGAGAAATTTAAAGGCACCATCACAATGAGACGGTGACACGGATGTCACAATAATTCTATCACAGTTGGCACATGAACCAAATCATCTCATCCAATCCCCTGCCCTGGGCAGGGACACCTTCCACCAGCCCAGGTTGCTCCAAGTCCCATCCAACCTGGCCTTGGACACTTGCTGCTTTTAATTTTTGTATAACCTTAGACAGCAGGTGCTTTATTCTCTCCTGAATGGTAAAATACAAAGAAAAAAATAGAAAACTAAGGAAAACAATTAGGAAAACTTGTGAAAAGAGACAGAGCAGGTAAGGCAATAACTTCTGCAAAAGGGAACCTGTCCTGCTGAAGCCAGTTCTCTATAACAGAGCTAAAGCAGATGAACCCATGTTGGCATCTTTAATGGTTAGTTTTTCTTTCTTCCCTTTTCTTTGTCATAAAGTGAAGGAAAGTGTTTCCTCTCCCACCTTGGATCTCTCCATCAGACAACAGATCAGGAAAACTGTGCCAAAAAAAGAATAATGTTGGCAAAGCAGTAGAAATTCCTGAAGAAAGACCTATATGTTTGCTTGATAAATTGTTTCTTCATTTCTATATTCCTACAAGACACTTGTATTTTCACACTCCATTGAACGGAGAAATACTGTGAGTTGCCACAGAAAGCTGCTATTAAATTATTTTTCTTTTACTGAAGAGGTTATTTGCTGTGGCTTTTCAAACCTTGCTGTCCTTCCTGTGCCCTACTGAACACAGGGGCAAATTAATTTTTTAAAATGCTTTTAATGGAAGATAGTTCCCGACTTTACTTAAACTGGAATTTTTTTTTTCTCTGAACCAGGCTGTGTTTCCAAACTAACTTGACAGGATCCTGATATTGCAATCGTGAAAATTCCAAGTAAAGTTTTAAAAATGGGTTAAAAATGGATCAATGACACAAAAATATGATGTTCAGTAGAACAGAGGCAGAAAGGAGATGCTCAGGAAGATGCCAGCAAAGCTTGGCAGGACCAGGGATGGGCTGGAATGTGCTAAGGAAGGGCTGAGACACCAGCAGAACCCCAAGCTCCACTCTCTGGGAGTGGGGGGGGATGATGAAAATCAGCTGCTCTCAGGAAAGCAGAAGATACCAAGAAGATGAAAAACAGGCTGTTAATACCTTTTCCATTGGGATGCTGCTTTCCCCCTCAATTTCCCAAGTTTTCTCTGAGCAGCAGTTTGGGTTTCAGCAGTGCAGCAGCAGGGAAGTTCCCCACTGAGTGTGGATGGAGCTTCATTTCCCCCCCAGGTTCTCAACAGTTTGCAGAGAAGTTATGTACGAGACAGGGTGTAAATCTGTGATCTCACATTGCCACCCACCAACACTCTCCCTCTTTTTTTTGTCAGGTCAGTCAAATTAATTGGTTTCAACTCTTTTTTTTCAAGTGGAAGTTCATTAAAATTTTGAAAAATTGCCATCACAAGAAAAAGCACAATCTTCAGTTAACAGTGTCAACCTGCTATTGCACTGGCTTCTTTTTCTTCTTAATTGGATATGTTGAATCAAATTCTGCTTAGCAAACAGCTTGGATTTGGGCAAATCAGCATTTTTTTCCAGTGGGGGAAAAAAAAAATTATCAAGAAATTCCTAACCACCTCAAATAATTTCCCAGATGTGGTGATAGCTTAATAAAGTTGTAACCTGTTCAAACTAGTTTTTTTTGTATGTTTAAGGTTTTCCTGAGGTGTCAAGGGACAATCAGTCACCATTTGTACTCAATAAACTGGGAGATGATACTCCAGGAATCGATGCAGCTCTGCAGAGATTTGAAAGATGTGCATTTATTGGAGAAAGCAGTAAATAAAAATAAAGCCTCACCGGAATTTAATTGAAGTGTCCAATGGGTGAGTTTGTACTTGTGTGCATGTATAAATAACTTAATTATAAATAAGCTAAAGGAAAGGGAAAATTGTAAACTTAGCAAGTATTGACTAATATACAAAAAATAAGGCCAATGTCATCAAGTTGTGGTCGACTATTCTAATTCTGCATTCATTTACATAAAGATCCTTGCTGATTGGATGCAGATAATTTCTGACTCCCCACTCCATTGGGAAGAATCAATTTGGGGGTATTATAGACTGAACCAACATTTTCCCACTGTATTTCCAGTGCCTGTTGCACACACCAAGGCCAGTGGCTCACACAGGTGAGTTCCAAAGGACTCTGTGAGTACACAGAAAGTATTAGGAATAATATTGTCTCAACATTCAGTTAATGTTATTAAAGGTATTAAAGCCTTTCTAAAGACTTCTTGGACAACTCACAATTGACATTTCTTCAATCTTCTTAAATTATCAAGCACTGTGAAAACAGGCAAGGTCATTGTTTTATCTGCAATAAAGTCAAAGGAATTGCTGGAGATATGGCAAGAGTATTACACATATAATTAGCACTGTGGTAATTTATTCAATAAAGCTCTCATTTAATTACAGGAACCTATTACACTGAGTGATGTGTAAAGGGTGATTTATATCTCGGATGTAAATATTCAGAGAGAGGCCTCCCCTATGAAAGGAGCTGCTCTCTGCTCTCCATCCATGTCCCACTTTGAAGTGTTGGTACAAAATATGAGGTATTAGAAGGAAAATCTTCCCTGGGAGGGTGGGCAGGCCCTGGCACAGGTTGCCCAGAGAAGCTGTGGCTGCCCCTGGATCCCTGGGAGTGTCCAAGGCCAGGTTGGACGGGGCTTGGAGCAACCTGGTCTGGTGGAAGGTGTCCCTGCCCATGGCAGGGGTGGCACTGGATGGGCTTTAACATCACTTCCAACCCAACCCATTCTCTGATGGTATCAGCCCCTTGATTTTGAAAACACTGAGTGTCACCTGATGCTTCCTTGCTCTTCAGGAGTCTGGCCCTTGACCACCAGTCACAGACACAAGCCTGTGGGGAGCTGTGACATATGTATTGTTGCTTTTTTATATGTCAGTGTTCCTTTCATCAACAAACAGTGAAAAAGTTGAAATATGTCAGCAGACCTGTGCTCTTTCTGCATCCATCAAGAACCTTAATCAGAGCTAATGAAGTATGAAACCATCCCGATTTACGCTGTTGGCAATATAGAAAGGGTCTTTTCCTTAACATGAAAAAATAAATATTACTGATCACAAATAAAGTGTCTCTTATTGGGATAATATTGTGTGCTGTCTGCCCTCGCTGCCCTTGGGTTATCCCAAACCCAGCAGAGACTCTGCACAAAGCTTTAAACCCCAGAGCTTTTAAAGGCTGGGATATTTAGAGCTGCAATAAGTCAGTGCCTCTGCACGAGCTACTCCTGGGCTGCTTTACTACCAAAAGCTCAGCAAAGCACTCTATTACTTAAGTCTTTCCAACCCCCCCCCAGATCTCGGCGTTCACACAAACCCCGTTTACATGTGAACATAACACATTTCTCAGCATCCATTTCTCACAAAACGCTCACTTATGTTATCAGAAATTTAAACAACAACAAAAACTTCAAACCCAGTCAAAGCCAGTCGTGTCAGGCTGACAGAAGTTGATGACACTCATAAAAGGAACAGCTTTCCAAAGAGACATCTTTCTCGTAGAAAGTGTTCGCCAATTGATAATGCAGGTAATAGTCAGCACTCCAGATCTGTGCTGATATATAAAACTGCTGTCAAAACTGCTGCCTTTATTGACACCATCATGAATACTTTGCTCCCAAGGTAAAGACATTATTGTCAGAAGTAGCTGAAAACATTACAGAAGATATTTCTCAGTTTAACTATGTAAAAGTCTGTTGTTAGGAACTATTCAGGATTCCTTAACGTCAGAAAAAGACTGAAAGAACACCACTCACAATAGAATGTCTCACTTAAAATATTCAAAGAGCATTTTAACTGGGGAAAAAAAAAGAACACTGGGTTGGTGTGACTGGTCACTCCAGGCTCTGGCAAACCAAGCTGTGCCTGCCCACACCACATCTCACGTTCTCTGCACAGCCCTGGCTGGGGGTCTTACAGGATTAGTGGAATCCAGTGGATTGAAATGTCATCACCTGATGAGGAAACTACTGAAAAAGAGGCTGCAATAACAAAGGCAGTTCAGCCACATAGATCCCCTCACAGAACTCTGGAGCACTGCAGTGTCTGGGAGCAGCAGGTGGCTGTGGAAGAGCTGCATCCTCCTCCAGCAAACACTGAACATGACAGAGCCGTAAAATATCCTGAGCTGGAAGGGACCCACAAGGATCATCAAAGTCCAATTCCAGACTCTGCACAGGACATCCCAACAATCCCAACATGTGCCTGTGCATAAAAGGAATAGGCCATTGCCTTCCTCAGTGCTGACCTTACTTAACCTTGCCTCGATTCGGCAGATAAAACAAGTCCCTGGAAACCAAATCTGCAGAAATATTTCGACCATTTGCCACTGAGTGGAATCCAAACCCAGACACCCTTGCTCAGGGACGAGCTCCTGTCTCAGCCCTGTTGTCCCAGTGACCTCCTGCCCCACTCAGAGCTCAGAGCCAGCAGTACCAGGGCTGTTTCACCCCATTCCCATCCCCGGGACGTTTCATCCCACTCAGCTCTTACCTCTAATCTAATTTGACTGAGATGAAGAAACCTCCTGCTCTCCAGAGATCGATTCTCCTTGAGCGCAGCACATAAATGAATATTTTACAAGCCATATAAATGCAGCCCTTTCCATTTTTCTTTCCCAGTTGTGCCGTAGGAAGGCAGACACTGGGACCAATTTACAGCATTAGGCTCCTGTCTCAGGAGCAGGCAGAGATTCTGAGCCCCTCACCAACCTCCCCCTTTGGAGGGCTCACTCATCAGCTCCAAAAATAATATATGCTGCTGTTTAGTGCATAGCTTTTGATACAATTGTAATCCCTCCTCAGCTGTAACAGCTGATTATTAAAAATTTTTGATGTACTAGAAAACACCTTCCTGAGGTTCTGAGCATCAGTGGTCTGTGGTGACCTGTCTGTTGGGAAAAATCAATCTGAACCAACACTACTGATGTGTGAAACCTTCTTTAATAAGAAAATGCTCTCTCTACATATGGCTACATTCTTCAGTGTCTGGTGGTCAATAGCTAATATGACGTACCTTAAACGTGGCTAGAGGGAATTAACACTTGGCACCTCTGGATCCCACTGCAATCACCCTTTGCTTTTGACTTCAAAGGCAATAAAAAAGTAATACTGAGATCAAAGACTCCCAGCACAATCAGAGGTTTTGAAGTTTGCAAACCACAGAAATTGGAGGCATTTTAGTTCGTTCTCTCTTGTCGTTTTCTGAACTCCTGAATACTTTGAGTCACCGCTCAAAGTTTTGATTTAAACTTACGTTTTGATGCACAGGGATCTGAAGATGCCAGGGAATTCCAGATTAATCCATGCTGACAGCAAGGGCTCTCATCACCTTTCCATTGATTTTGGAGGTAGTTTGCAAGGTTTGGGGAAATAAATAAGCTCTGTTCTACGTTCTGATGCTACAGAAGCTCTGCTACCTTGGGCAAACAGTGACTTTTCAAATGTGTTTATTCAACAGGCCGTGTATTTGGGTGAGGCCCATAAACACCCTCCAACAGATGTCTGAGGAGCAGATCAGGCAGAATTCTGAGCTCCTTTGCACACTGTTGCTCTGCCATTTTAGGTCTCTATTCTTGCAGTTTTATTCTCTGATTGGTTTATGGAGGTTTGTAACCACCTGCTCATCACCATCCCTGCCTGAGAGACACCTTTCCATCCCCAGGGTACAGGTGCATATCTACTCCTCCTCTTAAAATGTTCACCAAGGAACATTTCCAGTCCAGCTTTCTTATTTAATCGATAGATCAGACACAAAATATTGAGTGAGACATTCAGGAATGGATGGGTTTCCCATGCACTATGACAGATGCTCAGTTCCCCATTTCCTGCTCCATTTCTCAAACCTCCTTATCCCTTTCTATATTTAAACAATCTTTTCCACTTTCTCATCTACTTGCTCTTATCAACATTGGTTATCTTGCTCCCTCTCATGAAAATAACCCAGTTTTCTACGTGATGGATCATTTCACACAGACAATTGTGCTTATGGAGAAATTCAATACTTTTAACTTCTTGCTGAAGAGCCATTTGTAACCAAACTCCCCAAAACATGATGAATGTTCCCTCCCTTTCCCCAGTTATTGGAGGGAGCAGCAGACACTGTTTTAAGGCTTTCCTGTGGCACAGGCTACGTAAGACATCCAATATTTGCTCAATTACCATGACATGTCCACCCTTAATATTCCAAACCAACCCTAAAACTTCAGTAGCAAACATTTTGATCTGACCTTGCAATCCATGTTATTGGGTGCTCCAAAATCGTATCAGAAGACAGTGCTGTGAGACCTGATCAAGCCAAATTCCTCTTGAAAAGTAAAATATGGGCGACAGAAGAGCCAGTCCCTCAGAGCTGGGCACAGGGGAGGAGTTGCATGGAAGCTCCTGGAGCTGTGGAACAGAAAAGCTGTCAGCATTCCATGGGGATTCCTGAGAGTCCCATCACATCACACACTCTACCTGTTCAGCTTGGAAACTCAATTGCTTTTCCTTCACGAGAGAGAATCTTTGAATGTAGAACCACACCACGTCAACCCCATTTGTGCAGAAAACTGTCCCGCGCAGGTAAAGGGATTTTAAATTTCGGCAGCACCCTCCATATCCAGGGGGCTAAAGGAGGGCAACCTCCTTTTCCTGCACTCCAGGGTCATTGTAAAACAGGCTCCATAGAGCAATAAATCTGTTTGTTTTTGTTGTGGTTCTCCCATTCCTCTCTGACTGCTTCTGTTTTCTTTTGGAAAGCACTTGATTGTACCGTTCTCTCTCTGTTTTCAGCATCATAAAACGAATTCACTTCATTGATCAGAAGATGACCTCTACCCAGTGCCTCTTAGATTAGAGATAACAGCAGGCTGCTGTCTCACTGAGGAATAATGTCTTCAGCTTCTCCAGCTCCTCTTTATTATGATTGCTTCCTAACATATCACTTAAAAACTGGAATGGAAAACAAATGAGAATTTCTTCTCCCAGTGTTTGTATTTTGACTTACCAACAAACACAGACACACACACTGCAGCACTCGGTGCTTTGGAATAATTCATATTTTCCTGTGGAAGATGAAGAAAATATTTAACTGTAGACAAATGAGCTGAGGAAAGGGGTAAAAATGGAGTGACATAAAACCTACATTTTGCCTAAGAGACTTTCTGCTTTAAAGCAGGAAAAATGGTAGATGTACATTCATGTGAAATTTAAACTGTGCATATTCAGGAACAGGTTTTTAAATATCAGCAATAAAGATCATGTTGGAATACATTATCACATTCTGCACTGGAGCATGTGTTACATATTTATAACAAGGAAAGCGTGCAAGACTAATCATACACTATGAATAATGCCATGTTTTTACAGGCACATTTGCAGTGTGTTATCCCAGACATTCCCTTCTGCTGGGGACAGGAGGAGGGAGAGGCTCCCCCAGCACTCAGCATCCTCTGCAGGAGGATCCCACCTCAAAGGTGTGAGGTGTGCAGTGACATTAATTTGGAAAAAGGTGTAAATGTGGGTATTATTCCACTTATTTCAGGCCCCTCTGCTGAGCTGCTGGAGAGGTTCAGTTGGCAGCAAGAGCTTGCACTGCGTTCCCAGAGCCCTGGAGCCTTGGTGAAGTGATGGGATTCCTGGAGGGCTTGTCAGCCTCAGGAAAGCCTCTCAGCTTCAGTCTCACCATCCTTCACTTCCCCACGGTGAGGAATGTGCTCTTCAGGAATAAAACAAACGGCTCCTTC